CCCGCCCCGGTGCTGACCACCCTGTCCCCCGCCTGCCCTGGTGCTGACCGCACCGTCCCCCGCCTGCCCTCGTGTTGACCGCCGCGGTGCTAACCGACCTGCCCCCTGCCCGCCCTGGTGCTGACCGCCGCGTCCCTCGGCCCTGCACACTCCGGTGCTGACCGGCCCTCGCCTGCCCTGTTGCTGACCGCCCCTTGCCCTTTACCCTCCCCAGTGCTGACCACCCCGCTGCCCCTCATCCTCCCTGGTGCTGACTGCCCCCTGCCCTTCACCCTCCCCTATGCTGACCGCCCTCGCCCCTGCCCACTCCAGTGCTGACCACCCCGTCCCCTGCCCCTCACCCTCCCCAGTGCTGACCGCCCCCTGCCCCCCCTCCAGCCTGGCTGAGCCTCTCCCTCAAGCATCCCCCCGTCTCAGTTTCCCCCTCTGCACTGGGGGCTAACCCCTCCTTCTCCAGGTCACAGCGGAGAACATAAGCCGGTCGCTGCCCCACCCTGCCTGGCCTCCCTCATCCCTCTGCTTCCTAACGCCTTCCTCTGTGTGGCTTGTTAACCCTTTCTCTCCCGCAGCACTTTTGCTTGGAACGGAACCAGCCTGGCCCCTACTCTGAGGGTCTGTGGCCCCACACTGGGGCCCTTCGTACCATGTGTCCCCATCTCTGCTCTCTGGCTCTCGCTCTCCCACCCTAGCCCCTCCTACCTCGCACTTGCTGCCCGAGCTCAGGGCCACCCCACGGGCCGCAGCTGGGCCCCTCCCCTGAGTCCCCCTCGTGGGGCTTGGGAGGCGGAAGGAACGGGGACCAACTCAGTCTGCACCAGCAGTTTGGTCTGTGCGCTTGTTGGGGCTCTGGGGCCACGGCTGTCAGGAGAACGTGCCCAGGGTGGACAGTGCCCCCAAGGCAGAGCAGGGTGCAGGGCTTGGTCGCACGTGGTGGTTCTGTGCCCACGCATTTGATTCTCACAACGGCCTAGCGTAGGGACTGGGAGGGACACCACGCACAAGGCAGGGAATTGTCGGCCCAGAGCTGTGGGCTGGACAGGCAGGCAGGGCTGAGCCTGTGGCCGGGTAGCCTGGTGCTGCCCCCAGGAGGTTCCACCAAGGTCCTGAGGGGCAGTGTCCCTCGTGGCAGGCCTGTCCCAGGCCGCAGACCGGCTCTCCGCAGTCCGAGGCTCCTTGGGAGACCACCAGCCAGGTCCAGGCTCCCGGGGTTCAGCAGGTCCTACCACTGCGCTCGTAGGGCTACTCCTGGGAAGGTCGTCCTCAGGTGGACAGAGAGCAAATGTCACAGCGAGCTCAGCCTGCCTTGGCCTGAGCCAGGGACCCCTCCCCACCAGAGCCCTGGGAACAGCCCATCCTCCACACTCCTTTGGGCTCCCCATGGCTGGCGGCACTGTGTGCCCTGGGTGTGCACAGCGGGCTTGCATGCTAGGGACACACAAGCCTGCATTCTTGGCCACATGCACATACGGACACCAGGCCCTGTCCCACGTGACCACAGTGCCCTCTGCCAGTCATCTGTATCTGTCCTCACAGACTCCCACATCCCCACCCCAGCGCACTGCCTGCACCGTGTGTCCACGTGTGTGCCCACAGTACCACACAGCTACCAGCACATCTCCACGCCAGCACCCTGCCGGTGTCATAGTGCCACGTGTGTCCACGCCAGTACACTGACACTGTCCACCGTGTGTGCCCATGTGCCCTCAGTGCTACACAGCCACCCCTAACCCTCACATCGACACACAGCCAGTGCCATGTCCCCACACCAGCACACGGCCACTGCCAGTTCCCCACGCCAGCACACGGCCAGTGCCGTGTCCCCACACCAGCACACGGCCACTGCCAGTTCCCCACGCCAGCACACCCCACCCCCTGCACAGGCCCTGACTATCAGGCCCCGACTAACGGGCCGGTGCTGTGCGCCCAGCAGTGCGGAGGAAGTGCTGTCCCTGGAGGAGAAAGACCTGAGGGACCGGGAGAGGCGCATGGCCAATAACGCGCGGGAGCGGGTGCGCGTGCGGGACATTAACGAGGCCTTCCGGGAGCTGGGCCGCATGTGCCAGCTGCACCTCAAGTCGGACAAAGCACAGACCAAGCTGCTCATCCTGCAGCAGGCCGTGCAGGTCATCCTGGGCCTGGAGCAGCAGGTGCGAGGTACGCTTCCGGCCCCGGCAGCCAGGACGCCACGGGGCACCCCGGCGCTGGCCCCAGCCCTGTGCTCTGCTCTCTGTCTGTCCAGCTGCTGTGACCCCCTCTGCTCTCTGCACCCCTGGTTCCTCCTTGAACCTTGCTGACCTCCAGCTTGTCGAGGAGGTGACACTGCGACAGTTAGCAGTCAGGGAGCCCCCACTATCCCCCAAACCCCTTCCTGTTGCTACTTTGATGACCTTGCTGGGACCCTCACCCACTGTGTTCTCCCCCTTCCCTCAGAACGCAACTTGAACCCCAAAGCAGCCTGCCTGAAGCGGCGAGAAGAGGAGAAAGTGTCTGCTGTGGTCGGAGACCCCCAGATGGTGCTGTCAGGCACCCACCCAGGTCTGGGGGAGGCTCACAACCCCACTGGGCACATGTGAGGTATGCACACATGGTCCTGGGTCAGCGTCCACCTATTCACACCCAGGTGGGGCGCATGCGGTCAGTCCCCCTCCCGCCGGGGTGGATGGAGCATGTATAGTACCTTCACACCCAGATGGGGTGCACGTGGTCAGTCCCCCCTCACACAGCCCCCCTCAGACCCAGGTGGGGCGCACACAACCCCTCACACATGGGTTCGTGCTATTTTTTGCACGTGAGGGACAGGACACAGGACCCTGTGTCACTGCAGGACTTGTCTCAGCTCCATCTTTCCTGGGCCCTGAGGGTCGTGTGGTGAGACCCTCACTATCACCTAGTCTCCCCTGCAGGTCCCACCTGGACGCCCCCATGAGACCTGATGACCCCAAACATCTCAGCCCAGCCTGGCCCCCAGCTTGGAGCCCGAAAGGAGCATTTTATTTTGGAGAAAATGAAAGAGAAAGAAGTGGAGCTTCGGCCAGAACTGCTTGCTCTGTCCGAGAGGAAGCTGCCTTAAGCCCCAGGTGCCCGCCTGCCCGGGTGCCTGCCTGGCGACACGGTGCAGGCCTGGCCTGGCCGGCGAGAGCCACCAGCAAATTGTGCCTACGCGGAATATTTTTTTTTTTTTAAGGAAAATGAAAAGAACATTAGTTAGGAGATTCCTTCCCTGGCTGTAGAGGAAGATAGCAAAGATGTTGCCTTTGGTCCTTTTTTAAATTTTTTTTTTTTTTTTGGCATATGTTTTGTAAGCAACAAATGTTTTTGTATAAAAGTCTCGTGTCTCTTGCTATTTTTGTTGCTGTTTGTAGAGCTAATCACCGCCAGACCGTTAAACGTGTGAGAGTGCGCCCTCTGGGCCCCTGGAGGCCATGGGACCTGGGCGGCCGGCATCACCGCCCACACTCCCGTGGCACACTGCAGGGCAGCACTGCCAGAGCCTCCCCACCATGGCATCTTCGGGGTGCTGAGGCGTTGTGGGGCTTCCCTCCTCAACGAGGGCTGCTTAGTGTGCCTCTCCCATTTGGTGGGCACCTCAGTCCTGTCTCCCGCCCCTGACAAAGGGTTGTGTGGAAGCACAGCCACCATTTCCAGAAGAAAGGGACCCCGGAAGCCGTGTCCCTCGGCTCCAGACTCCTCTGCCCCATCGCCCCGTCTGCGCACTTGATGTCCCTCCACCTCCAGCCTCTGCATTCTGTCCACTCCATGGCCCTGCCCACAGACAGCACTCCTGTCTGGAGTACTGACACTGGTCTAGGCACGTCCCCAGATGCCTGCCCACCTTTCTTTTTGTAAAAGATCCCAGAGAATGTCCCTGCCCCCATTGGCACGTACATATAGTTAGGTGACATGAGTACATTCAACATGTACTATTTGTTATGGTTAAAATCTAAACTGGATGTTGGGTTAGTGGAGGGGAAGCAGTGAGCACTGAGCACTCACTGGACTGGAATTCAAGTCTGGGTTGAAATTCTCTTCCTTTGAATCACTGTATCTTCTAAGGGAGATCGGAGCACACCTGAGGACTCCGGGTCTAGGCTGCCACCCAAGTGCTTGACCGTACTACATTCTGTGCGTGCACGGCGGTTCGAGCCGGCCGCTTCTAAAGGGGAGGTTGTGGCAGCGGCAGGGCCTTTCCCCAAAGGCAAGGCGTAGAAGGGTCCCTAGAAGAGCACAAGGAGTTTTTCAGGTGCGAGGGAGTGGGGGGGGGGCTGTAAATTCTGGCTGCGAATTGGGAGGCACTGCAGAACGGACAAGCGTGTGTCCTGGAGAAGGTGCAGCATGAGGCCTCCTTGGAGGCTTAGGTAATAAAGTTGCTTTTCACATACTTAAGCCGTGTTGCTAGGAGAGGCGCTTGGCGAGGGACATTGTGCTTGGAAAGGTGGGGGTTCTGTGAGCATGGAAGAGTTCAGCCGTGAGACGGGCTGGTGTAACTGCGGCGGCGGGTTCTGCAGTGGGCATGGCCGTGCCAGGTATGATGAGGACAGCAGAGCTTGGGACAGGATTCAGAGCCCTTCACAAGGCTCAGTGAGTCCACCCAGCATTGATACGTGAAAGGGAGAAGACTTTGCAGTTAGTCAGGTTCCCGAGCTCGGTTTGCAAGCCTCTCATCCTTGATTCTTTCAATATTACAACTCAAGGCTTAATTTATTTTTCGTTTCTCAGCTTGAGGAGTATACAGAGTCATTGTACCAAAAAGAAGTGGCTGACACAGAAGAATTTCAAGAAACAGCATATGATAAAGAGGCAGCGATGAAGTAGTTCAGGCTACTCTGAAGGACTTGTCAAGAAATAAAGCCTCAGGAATTGATGGGACACCAACTGATGTATTTCAACAAACACATGCTGCCCTGGACGTGCTCACCAAGTTGTGCCAAGAAATCTGGAGGACAACTGCTTAGTCAAGAGACTGGAAGAGAGAAATATTTATTCCTTTTTTTTTTTAAAAAAAAAAAAAGTGACCCAAGAGAGTGGAAATTATTGAACAATATCACTAATACCACTTAGAATGAAAACCCTGCTGAAGATTATCCAGGAATCACTAGAACAGTACATTGACAGAGAACTACCAGAAATACAAGCTGGGTTTAGAAGAGATCATGGCACTCTTTTTGCCAATATCAGGTGGGTCTTGGCAGAAAGCAAAGAGTACATATGAATGTCTGTTTCATTAACTATGCAAAGACATTTGGTTGTATGGATCTAAACAAACTGTGACTAACCTTGAGGAAAATGGGAATCCCGGAACTCTTGATTGTGCTTATGTGAAACCTATCCTTGGAACAGGAAGCAGTCCTCAGAACAGAGCAGGGAAACACTGCATGGTTCAAAATCAGAAAAGGAGTGTGTCAGGGATGCATCCTGTCTCCACACCTTTTCAATCTGTGCAGAACAGATAATTTGGGAAGCAAGGCTTTATGAGGAGGAAATGTGGCATCAGAATTGGAAGACTCATCAACAACCTACAATATGCAGATGACACAACCTTGCTTGCTGAAACTGAAAAAGACCTAAAACGCTTGCTGCTGCAGAACGTCAAGGACTGTAGTCTTCAATATGGATAGAAGCTCAACATCAAGAAGACAAAAGATTCTCACCCCAGGGCCAATTGGCAGCACCATGAAGAGATTGAGGTTGTTAATTAATTACAGCTTGCTCAACTACACAACCACATTGTTGGCACCAGAAGTCAGGAAATCAAAAGACTAATTTCATTGGGGAAGTCTGCTGTCAGGGACCTCTCCAGAGTGCTAAAAAGCAACTGTATTAGTCTAGAGACTAAGGTGCACCTAATCCAGGCCATGGTCTTCAAAGTTACTGGTTATGCTTCAGAGAGCTGTACAATGACTAAGGGTAACAGAAGAAGAATCGATGCCTTTGAGTTGTGGTTCTGGAGAAGTCTTGAACATACCATGGACCGCCAAGAAAACAAATTGATCTGCCTTGGAGAGGATGAAACAAGTTTCTCCTTGGACGCTAGTATTTTTTATTTTTTTTTTTATTATCTTGTGTGTGTGTACCATCAAATTGGATCTGACTAGTACAGGAGGAGATTGTCCCTCCTTCCGCGGCAGAGCATCTGGTGGATTTGAACTGTGCGCCTCTGGGATTGCAGTGCAGCTTCTTGCCACTAGGCCACCAGAGGTAAACCTCTGTCTCACATACTTTGGGTATGTGGCCAGGAGAGACTGGTTCTTGGAGAAAGACATCATGCTTAGAAGGGTGGAGGGAAAGCGAAGAGGAAGACCCTGATGAGATAGATGGATTGATACAGTGACTAGGACAATTGGGGGTTGGTGTTGGAATTAAACTGTCTCAGGACAGAAGGGTTTAGTGCTGCTGTACATGGGGTCGCAGGTGACTCGACAGCACATAACCACAATCAACAAAAACAACATACTGGTTGGGGTTTTTTGTTTGTTTGTTTTTTTAATTTAAGCCTCTTGTTTAGAGTCAACAAGACCTCGTGGTGGGCCGTTGTATTTAAATTTTTGTGGTTATATTTTGGAGGAACATTCTTCCTAGTGGTCCAGCAGTTTTCTGTCAGTTTACTATACTGGGGTAACCTGGGATTGCTTATGCCATTGTTGGGGGGGATCAGATGGCATAAAGGTTACCCATGGTGGACACTGTTTGATGGAGCTCCTAGTTTAAGACAGGTTTGGAAGCAGGAGTGGCATCCACTTCCTAAACAACATGCCTCTAGAAACTTCTAACTTTGAGAAATGATAGTTAAAGAAAGGTTTCAGGTCATTTGTTAATAGGGTTGCTGTAAGTTGTGCTTGACTCAATGGCAGTCGACAACAACAGCTTGAGAAATGCAGAGCAAGTTCTTCCCTTTTTCCAATTCCTGTTCTCCGCACATTCTATTAGAATACTTTGTTCAAGCTACCCCTTGAAATCTGTTCAGCTTTGTTACTTCAGCATGTTTCCCCATGGCTTCTTGACACTCTAGTGCAATTATGAGTCTCTTCTGACTCCATTTGATTTTTTCTTTCTCCTGTCTTTGTAATGACCTTTTGCTTTCCTCATGAATGATATCCTTGGTATCATCCCACAACTCATCCTGTTTTCGATTACTGGCGTTCAGTGCCTCAAGCCTATTCCTAGGATTTTGAAAATCAGATGGGATAGGTTCACGACCATACCTTGGGTTTTGTGGACTTTAATTTTCTTTGGTCTTGCTTCTGAGAACTTGAAGCACTTGTTGCAGAAGATCAAGGAATGCTGCCTTCAATATGGATTGCATATCAAGGTCAAGTAAAGATTCTTACCACTGGACCAACAGGCAACATCATGGTGGATGGAGTGAAACTGTCAACAACTTTATCTTACTTGGATCCATAATTAACACCCTTCATACCAAGCAGTATTGAACTAGGAAAATCCATAGTTGGAGACCTCTTCAAATTACTGAGGAGTAGTGATGTCAGTTTGAGGACTAAAGTGCCTCTGATTCCGCCATGGTCTCTTCAGTCACTTGCTATGCATCTTAGAACCGGACAATGAGTAAAGATAGCAGAAGAACTGATGCCTTTGAGCTGTGGTGGTAGACAAGAGCATCGAACATGG